TATATTTCCACATGCATTTATAAAATTATTTGTGCATATACTATAACCGCAGTATGTATGTTAATTCTGTGTGAGCGTGTTCCTTTTAATTGGTGGAATAGTGTGGTGGAAAACATCAAAAATTATATTTTACGGTAATGAAAACCAGTTTTTTCTAAAATTTATTCAGGTAAAGTTTTTTAATTTAAATTTTACTTAAAATCAGTAGTACAAACATTTTGTATCTGCCAGCGAATTTAATTGTTTCAAATAAATTTACAAAAAACTTAAATTAGAACATGGTCGTGTTATAATATCTAAACTAATAACTATCAAATATGAGCGGACATACTTGAGGTACCTGAATATAAGGCTAAGCGGAGAAAATGTATCATCTAAATAATGTTTAAGCATAATGCATCTAATAGGATCTGAGTACATACATTATTTTTAAGAAGATACTAGGCACCGAAGGGAACTACTATAGACAAGGAAACCTAACAGTAGATGCGAATTGTGATCAATAACAACTTCAATGACAATTTGAATCCTAATGAAATGAAATGTGATATATTCTGGATGCAATGCTGTATGTTCACATATACGGCAAACTTAATTCCAATTTGTTTCATTTTATTACGACAAACATGCTTTATGTTGCAAGTGCAATGGCCTTTCACGAAGGAGTAGGAGTTAGAACCCACTTTGCCAACTTAATCTATTGTTTTATTTTATTGTAATTAATTTGATGATCTGAAAAAAGACTGTCAAAAATATATTAACATATATCCTGTGTGCAGTGACGACTGCTCTAAGGTGCGGAGGTGTGCGGTGAACATCCTAACATAATTTGCAAAATGTCAAATAACATAGGTATATAAATTTATTAGGTATCTTCACATCAAGAATTATTATTAATTATTACATTTCCATATACATATATATTTTTTAAAGTTTTTGCAAAAACAATTAAATATAATTGTCTATGAAAACTCAATCAATTTGCTTCTGTTAGCTGCTATCATAGAGTATATATACTCTTTGCTGCTATACTTGTTAGGTGTGCTCATATATTTGCAGCTCAAATCACAGAACATTTCTATTTTATTTCGTCTCTCCCCTTTGTGTGCAAAGAAGTTGGCAGCACATTCATACGTTGCATATGAACAAAATAATGTGCGTGTGCTCCCATTCGTAATATCAGAGATAGAGATTTATATAGTGGGAATTGTATGAGAGTAAATTTTTGTTGTATTCGAATATCAACTGCATGCATACGAATCCAACATTATGATTTGCCAAAGTAGTTGCATGAGCTGCTGAAGTTTGCAGCTCATCTCACCATACATTTCTATCACATTTCGTCTCTCCCCTTTTAACAGCAGCACCCACGAATTTCTGTTCTTATGGTGCGGGGTACTTGTGCGCACATTGCAAGTGGTTTCGATTTTGTTTGATCACTGCACAAACATGTATGTTTCTAAGTACAAACTCTTTTGTTTGAAAAAAGTTGGTTTGATGTTACGAGAATTATGTGAAATGTTTTGTTTCTTCCATATTGATATAATATTAAATTTATATATAAATTATTAATTTAATTTGTTTAATATGTTATTTTGTTAATGAATTGTTAATATAATATTGCGAATATATTGTTGCCTAATATAATATGGTTATTATTAATAAAACATCTCATATATTTTAATTTAAGTGGTACATGTAAAAAAAACATTAAAGAAGAGCCGCACACCCTTCCAAATAGGGCACGCGTCGTCACTGCCTGTGTGAATCATGGCAAATGCACAAAGCGATTTCCAAAGAATTTTATATCTGATATAAATCATGAAAACAGTATATGCAGACGCTTATGGTGATAATAGCTCATTTAATATTGAATTTTGCAATTCTGTAACGTTCTTCATATATAAATATGTGCAATATTCTCAAAAGCAGTAGTTTATTTTTGCCTATTTGTTTTTATTTCATTTTTATTTCGTAAATGAGATTCATCATCGCTATATTTACATGGCTATACTTATATAGCTATATGTAAATCTTGAAATTGAACAACGTGTATAGGTACTTCACTAAAGAATATGTAAATCCAAAATCCGAAAAATCTTTGGGAAACACAGTAATGCGATAAGTGACTCATTGTAGTAACTTGCATTGAAATTGCTTTAATGTATGCAATTTACAGCATAAAACAGCAACCTATGTCGCATCATTATTTACAATTTATATAGACTAATATTCGCGAGTTAAAATATTTTAAAGAAAACGACAACTTTTCGGAGATGAATCAGTTTTGTAGACAAACAACTTGATGAGGATACTATTAGTTTCAATATTTAGGATTTATTACTACTTCCACGAATTTTGCACCCAACAATTAAATTCCCAATTATTTTACTACGTAACACGAATACAGCAAGGTTCTGTATGGGAATTAGTTAACTTGTGTAAAATCTCAGTGACAATTTTATCGCGGCTACCTTAAATACCGATAAATTAAAAAGCGAATACGTTCTACTGCCACGAATATAAATGAAACCAACAGACAGACTGTTTCAATTCAAACTCTGGCAATCCTCCGTTCGGTTCGCTTTTACCACTACGATCAATAGATCCCTGGAGCACACAGTGACCATCTGTGGTGTGGAATTGGACAATCCATTTTTTTTTTCATGGAAAAATATATGCGTCATAAGAAACATAAACGTTTGTTTTGAAAGAAAATATAAATTTCTGATATAACAAACAAACTAACACTAACATGACAATAATATACTTCAACATTAAGTATGTAATTTATACTAAATGCTTTCAATTTCGACAAATAGAGCTCTTTAATCTGTGACTCTTTTTGTCCTCTTTCAAGAGTCCTTTTACTGTGAAAAGAGAAAAACCTTACATTTTAAGTTACAAAAAGTGCTCCTTCTGTAGTAAATGTTCGAAATATAAAGATATTTAGTTAATGGTAAACTCGTTTTAGAATCCTTTGGTTAGATGGAAAGTATTTATGTTTTTATTATCATTAAACAGATTTTTATAACGTTTTTTTAATATGTATGTTTATAAAATAAATTTTCTTTCTTATCAAAATGTAACAGTTAATACCTTTTACATTTTTGATTTAATTGCAACAAATGATGGCATCCTTAATTATCATTTTAGGTGATGTTCCATAAAATGCCATTTTTATACATTCAATATTATATAACTGTTTATTTTTTAACAGTGTATTAGGTACCCACCAATAAAATTAAACACAAGAACTTATTTTTGGATTCTCGTAATTGGAGTTGTAAAGAAACAAAAAATTTATGTTTATCAAGTTTTTTATTTTACATTAAAAATAAATTTAATATATTTTAGTCTGCTTTAATTTTAAATACTGATAACTGTTGAATTACGTGTATTTCAAAAAAATCAATTTACATTTATTTATAAAACATATTATTCTACATTACAAATACAATCTAATATTATCAGTAGTCAAAGCAAAAAATAAATTTTCTAAGTACAAAGAGTTGATATAATATAAAAGTTTTCTATATTCGTATTAGTTGTGTTGCATTGTTTTTTATTTATTAACAACATTTTTAATATATGTTTATGTTATAATTGCAATAACAGAATAATTTGTTCTGTTATGAATTTAAGTACCATATTATAAATTTTTTTCACACGAATAATTTAGCTACTATGTACAAGTTATTTCGAATTATTTGGATAACATTAGTGATTTTTAATTTGTAACTTTTATTATAATGTAAGTTAAATGCAGTGACAGTACTCCATCTTCCTGAAGAGATAACATCGTTCATGCGATGAGGGGCTTAATTAGATTTCGTTCGCTATTCTTTATTCAAACTTTATGTTGTGTCATTTATTTAAATCAAAGCAGTCGAAAATAACAGTTTGCAAATGCTTTTTAATGCATTTACTTCTTTCTTTCTTTCTTACTTTCTTGTGCTATAATTCTATGTTTTAATTTAGCCATTCGATTTTCTTTTCGAATTACAATGTTTTTATATTCGAAAATCGCACGCACACGCTGAACGTTGTTATATTTTTAAACAGTCTGTCTGTTAGAACAGAATAACCATCCATTCGTTGCAGTTGCTGTATTTAGAATTTTATACACATTTAATTTAAAACAATTGAAAAATCTTTCGAACCAATCAACCATTTAAAATATAAAACATAAAAGCGTTTTAAATAATAAATGTGTTTATATCATACACATATATGTATGCATATTTGTAATCAGTAAATTTCACTGCATATGGTATACAGATGCAAACAAAATATTTGAATACGTATTTTGGTAATATTATATTTATTAAATAAATTATTTTTAACACAAACTAAAATATTTTGTTAAAATCAAAATATCAAATTTTTTATATCATATAAAATAATATTTCTTTCACAAACAAAGTAATACAGTATTTAAAAGTACATAAGCTGATATCATAAAAATGAAATAATTAAATTTAAAATGCATTCAGTCTTGATATAAAAATTGTGTTTTAAAACGAAGCTTTTTAATAATATTTCAATATAAATGTAACAATAAATTTGTTTTAAATATACACACAAACCTAACATTAAGTTAACTCAAAGATATATACAATAACACATCATAGGTAACATAAATAAATATTTTTATATAACTAAATATGACAGATTAAAATTATTTATACATGTGTATATATGCATATGTGTTCGCACAGAAACAAAAAATTATTTGCAAAACATAGATATGAGGATTACGATACATACATATTTAATTGGCCTTAGTGTGCTAATTACTGTAATGTGACATTACATTACACTTAAGTTCTGATGTTACAAAAATCATTATTTTTATGTTTTAATCGACTTAGGAATGCACATTACAAAATTCATCGTGTAGATAAAAGTCTATTGTGTACATAATATAGAAATATATACATAAGCGTTTTTCACAAAAGAAGTTTTAACTAATATTTATGAGATTTAGTTCACTATTTACAGGAATCAATATTTACATATATTTGTTAACCATTTAAATATAGGTGGGAAATTTATCTGCTTAAAGAAACTGAATACGGGCAACGGAATATTGTATTCATTTATTTGTTTAATACGTTCGAGACATAATTAGATTTGATGTAGATGTTCGAAGACGAGACAAGTGATCTAGTTGAATCTGTTTTTGTATTTGCTTCAAATTTTGGGAAACATCAATATTAATGGAGTAATGAGGAGGAAGTCATGCATCGTCTTTAATAGATATTGGCTGAAGCGGCAAACTTGCTGACGTATTTGAATCATTATCGCCGCATATACTTGCTGGAAGTGAAATGTTGCTGTGTCCTAAGTTTGAAAATTGAGATGTAAATGGAGGTGATAGCTGTTGCGATGATATTTGTGATTGTAAATGTTGTACTGTACCCTGAGTAATTGCTACACTGTTCACAGGACCTGAGGATTTTCCTTGATTAACAACACATTTACGCATGTGTTTTTCTAATGTGCTTGGCACACTAAAAGGCATATCACAGAATCGACAACGGTAAACATCTTTTCCCGTTCGCCCATGGGTTTTCATATGACGTGTTAACTTTGAGCTTTGAGCGCATGCATAGGAACACAATTCGCACTTATAAGGTTTTTCACCAGTATGACTGCGACGATGCACAGTTAAATTTGAACAATTTTTAAATACTTTACCACAAAATTCACAAGTATCATTACGTTGACGATTTTCTTTTTTTATCAGGGAGTTTTGAAGTAAAGAATTGGCTGATCCATGTCCTAATGGTTTAAGTTTAAGATTTTCAAATAATGATTCATTGCGATGAAGTGAAGACACACTCCACCAACCACTCCCTTCCATTTTTAAACGTTTCGACAACTCAAAGGGATTTTGAAATGGATTAAATAGTGGAACTTGTGAAGATGTTTCTTGTTGCGTTGGTTGTTGAAATATACTTTTCGTAATTTCATCCTGTAGCCGTATTGCAACTGGTATGCCATTAAGTTTTTGTGATGATGGTTGAAATGAGGAATTATTAGAGTTGGTATGATCATGCTCTTTATTATCTTTAATCTTAAAATTATTTGATTCCTGTAAAGCTAGTTTATAAGCTTCAGAATATTGCGCAATATTTGAGAGACCGAATTTATCCATTAATTCTCCTACAAGTGATGTAGCTCCAACATTTATTAATTTTGAACTTTCGCATTTAGACTCCAAACGACTGCTTATGCTTAAATCTTCAGCTTCATAATATGCTTCATCAGTTTCTTCAGTGTCTTCTTCGTCATCTTCCTCATTTATTTCCTCTTCATTTTCCTCTTCTTGAGCAGATTCTTCAGCATCATTTGTTTCAATTGAACTTTCAAAACTTCCAGGACTGCGATGCACTCGCATATGTTTCATTAGTTTATTTATATAAGAGCATTCGTAATCACAAATCGTACACTTATAAAGTTTTTCACCAGTGTGATTTCGTTGATGAATAATAAGATTATTTTCATATCGAAACTTTTTATCACAAAAACCGCATGCGTGTATTACAGCACTATCTTGTATTACTTTGGAAGGAGGTGTACAAGTTGAGTTAATACTTTCGTTTTCATTAGTCATTATATTATTATTTTCCGTTGGTGAATGTGTTTGGGATCGAGTAGAACTAGTAACTAATGAAGTGGGTAAGTGAGTGGGAGATGCACTCGCGTAATGTGGCGATTGCTTTTGTCCAGGACTCGGCGAGTTCGAGTTAACAATATTTCCAGCTCCAGGACTCTTTGTTCCTGCAAGCTGACGCAATCGCTGTGAGTAAAAATCCATCTGAGGTTCTAGATTATTGGTGATTTGTTGTGGTGCTATCCCACATGGTGGTTGAATGGGGCTAGGCGTTGCTACTGCATTGCGTTGGTTATTGTTCATTGTACATTGTTCATTTGAGTTATTATTTTGTGTCAATTGCGAAGAGTGGGATGATGTAAATGAACTGGCTGCTGCTACAGCTGCAGCAGCAAAATTAATCCCATGATGACGAAACTGCTCTGAAACTAATTGTTCCATACGATAATGTTCTGGACGGGAAAATAAAGGCGTAACTGAAGGAACTACTGGATTATGTGAAATATTGGATGGTAATGGCATCCGAAGAATATTAAACGGATTTCCATGTATGTCTGTTGGAGGTAGTAATGAATGATGTCGCATGCCAGCAGCAGTAACTGTAGCCAAATTTTGAGCATTTTTCATTGCTGTTGTGATACTGTTTTGCTGTTGCTTCTGTTGCTCAACAGCTACTGCCACAATTGTTGTTGCATGCTGTTGCTCAGGTTGGTGATGTGTTTGTTGTTGGGACGAGCCATGACTGTTATTATTATTTGAAGATGTAGTACTCAGAGAACTGGACATACTGATATTGCTGGAAGAACAGTTACTCGTCTGTTTTTGTAAGGACTGCACAAATGATATTGGCATTGATTCTGAAAGAGATGATACCATGGACGAATTGGATACACTTTTTACAGCTAATTCTTCTGAATGAGCTGATTCCTCAACATATATTTTTAAGCCATGTGATTGCTGAACGTGTTTAAGTAATTTCCAAGCAGAAGAAAAACATGTGTTACATGTAGAACATGTATAATTGCTTGGTTCTGAAAAAAAATTTGTTATGAAATGTTAATTTTTTTGCATCAGATAATATGTATTGTAAATTAATTAAATTAATTTTATGTGAATATTATTGGTTCGTGTTCCTAGAGTGTGATTTAGTCCACTACATTGGATTTTTTCCCTTTGTTTCGATAACTTATATATATTACTTGCTAAAAAAATAAGGAATTATCAATATACAGAATTATCTTTTTATCTATTTATTTCTGTCTATTCAATTCTGTTCAAATTGTAAATATTTTTAACTATTTTATACTAATATAACCGATTAGATTTAAATTTTAGTAAAGAAAATATTTAAAATATTAAAGAATTTGAAGTATTAAATTTGCAAATCACGCAAATTTAAAGTTGAAAAAAAGATTTTGAATAGTTGCTAACCAAATGAAATACGTATAGTGAAATTTTCAAAATTGCAAATACTATACAAAAAAGCCGTCTTTAATTTTAATATTCATGCTAAACTTAAAAATAAAGTAATTTTGCTTATATATATACAATTCGCCTTATAATATAAGTCACTCTTTTAATGCATGAGCGTATAAATCAAAGTTATTCTCATCTTTCTTAAAATAAATTTTTAAAATCTTATTCAATGCTTGAGAGTATCGCAGTCTCGACTGTTGCTTTTATCTCACTACCTTATGGATTTAAATTAATGAATGCACCAGATGTTCCTTTAAAATATAAACGTTCTAAAATTGTGTAGTAGACAAACCGCAAGTACAGCAGCATAAATTATATATAATATTTAATAAAAATTTTTAACGGCACGTAAAACAAATCGGAAATCGTGACAATCACTACCCCATACGTTTATTTATAATATTTCGATTTGGCCAGAAAACTTAAAAAGAGAAGTTAGGGCGTTAGCACTGTTTTCAAGGGGTGTTAGTGGAGTTAAGAATATGTTTGTCTCTTTACATTCTTGAATATACTGCATCATTCACATACGAATATTCACATACTTTTAAATATTTATTAAGCCACAGTTTTTTATATAAAAAACTTTATGTATTATGCAACAACACACAAAATGTTAGAGTGTTTATTGATATAATATTTGTATTAGTATACATTCTTGCTGATTTTGTTTTAATAAAATCAGGTATGGTACCAATGTCAACTTTTACAATAACTCGTCAGATTGTAAGCATTAATGAGTGAAGAGTACAGTTAAATCACCGATTTTAAAGCATGAATTTCATTATAAAATAAAAAAAAATTCTAATAAGATATTGAGTTATGTAAATACATTAAGTTTTAAGTGAATTCAAGTCTCAGTTATTTAAGATACTCTAACATGGATATAGCTAGAAACATGACATTATGATTTTAGTAATCCATAAAAACCTAAAAATGTCAAAAGTCATGCAGTTTGTGACTTAATTTTATAGAAATGTGTAAGAAATAACATACAAAAGTGGTCAATTTTTCCTATTTTGCCATCATGCCTTCCGCAACAAGGGTTGCGCATGTACATTAAGTAATAAGCATTATGCTTGAAAGGGTTGTGCTCTCGAGTTTAGCCACTAATCTTAAATTTTTTTATGTTTGTATTTAAAATATATTAAGCATGCTGACAAATTCATTTCGTAGTTGTCAAGAACCTTCAAAATACATATAAAAAGCAAAAAATAAATTGAAATATCACATGGCCATTCTTTTTGTTTTTTAATAAATTATTTTTTAAAATTTCTTGTCGTAAGTCTACCACGCGCTTCTAATTTATTTGCCTTTTGCGACACAACTTTGATATATTTGAGCACTAAACTTAACTATTGGATATAAATACATTGTTTTAATATTATTTTAAAATTTTCAAGTATATCAATATCAACATTGAAAAACAAACAAATCGGTACATTCAAATATGCAAAAACTATTTCAGCTTAAAGATGGTAAGTGAACTCATGTCAACTCAATAAAAAATACCAATTTACTTATAGCCCTGATTTTTTATTCACAATTTCTTTGATAACGCATTCTAACTGTTTTTGGCAGTAAACCAACCTAATGTACCCCAAATTGTATTGAAAATTTAAGCAGCATTATGTAATGAATCAACCCTTTCATTCAACTGATGCATGTGGGATTCTTAACTTCCTCACATCATTGGAAGGGTTAAGTGACCGCAATATCGTAACATCTTGAAACAGGATGCATATGATATACCGTTTTGCCAGGCAACGGAAGAAGCAAATTGACCGCCTGCTGTATATCGTGAAAACGAAAATATAAAATACATTGTCTCTGGCTGAAGTATTAATTGCATTGTTCTTGTAATTTTTTTTTCCTAAAATTCTACTTCACTCTGGCGCTAAGCCTAATCTTATTGCTTCTATATTTTAATTATTGTCATCATTACAAAGAAACTGAACACAAATCATATTCAAAATATAATATAATATAATATAATATAATATAATATAATATAATATAATATAATATAATAT